GTGTGGTTTTCATACAAGTCCAGACAAACCCCCATTTTTTTGCAGCCAATTTGCTTTCAAGAAGGTTTTTGTAGCTCTGTTTTGCTTTCAGGATTTTGGTTTTCAGGTCTTTGGTGGCTGCAAGAAAGTTAGTAACAGCCCCCTCTTTAAAAAAAGCCAGTCTCTTTTTCCTTAAATAGGATTTAATGCTTTTGGTGACCCGTGGCTTATTGTTAAGGCACACCTTAACACAATTAGGGGTATAATCATGTCTTTACAAAAAACTGCAGATGAGCTAGTAGCATCCACCAAAGATCATCTCCACAAGACTGGATAAAAACTTCCCAATTTGTACATTTAAAACATTCCTGCAAAGTAAGCACAGATTCTTCTGACCATATAACAACAGTTCAGCGGAGGAAGTGGGAGGGATTTAAGTATTAAGTATTCTTCACCGATCCATAACAAAGGTCCAAGATTTTAGCCTTAAAGTGCCTGTACCCCCTACGATAACTGAGAAAGTTCAGGGTCTTGCCAGTCATCAGGATTTTCTATACAGGCGCTGTGGAGAGCATCCTCACACAGGACATCTCATCCTGGTTTGGGAACAGCTGTGTTAAGGACCAAAAAGCTCTTCAGAGAGTGATCCGTACAGCAGAGCGCTGCTGCAGGACTGCTTCACCCCCTTCAGGACATCTACACTAGGAGTTGCTGGACCAGAACAGCGCAGATACTGAAGGACCCGTCCCATCCTGGCAACAAACTGCTCCAACTTCTGCAGTCAGGCAGAAGGTTCTGCACCAACCGGGGAAGGACAGAGAGACTCAAGAGGAGCTTCTATCCCCAGGCCCTAAACCATAACACACACACACACACACACACATGTGACTGAGACAGGACTCTCTTCTAGACACTTTAACACACTTTAACAACAATGTACATTTCAGATTTTTAATTTAAAATTTTCACAATTCACCCACTTGCTGCACATAGTGATCCCGATGTATATATTCACTTAATGTATAAAATGTTCTTCTCGCCCCTTTTGCACAGTCGAGGAGTGTGTCAGGATACATTTCACTGCGCGTTGTACTTGTACATGTACATGTGACTGTTGAATCTTGAAAACAGAAAGAATCCAAGCGTATATACCAAACAAGTGAGAAAAACAACTAAGAGAGAGCTGTGTGAACAGACAAAATCACACAATTCAATACATGATACACTTTAGGTAAAGTAATAGTAAAAGTTTCTCTAATGATTAAAATTTTATTTGTGAAAAAGTTCATGAAGTCATTACTAGTTAACGTTAAAGGGATTGTTGGCTCAACAGAGCTCTGACTGTTTGTCAGCCTGGCTACAGTGCTGAAGAGAAACCTGCGGTTGTTCTTA